AGATAGATAGATAGATAGATAGATAGATAGATAGATAGATAGATAGATATTTAGTCATCCTTTTGGTAAGCAAGGAAGGAAACCAGATCCTGAATTTCAGGGGGAGTAGGAAAGGCCTGGACCTTGCCTTCCAAGGGTTCCCAGATAAGCAAAGTGGTCTGGTGACAGAGTTCTAAATTTTCAGAGCCTTACAGTAAGTGATAAGTGTGGTAGGTGACCTTCTCCCAGCAGAGGATGCAAAAACATGGATGGAAATACAAATGGGGGTCCCAGTGTCCTCATCAGTAAATTTCAAGGTCTGTGTGGCCAGATGGCCACACTCTGGCAGCCGTGACAGTCTCGCATCCGGGACAGTCCTGATGTGTGACTGGTGGATTGATGAAGGAACGCTCTGTGAACATGGCAGCCCTGCTCTGCAGTCACAGTGTGGCCTGGGACATTAGCCTGCAAGCCCATTGCATCAGCAACAGGAAGGACGGGCTTTTCCTAGAACTAGGGGTGGTATGGAATGGGGGAAATTGGGAGTGGGGCAGGATAGGAAGACCTGCCAGCTTCCTGGGTCCGCTCTGGTCAGGTCTTCATACAAAGCCTGTAACAGTCGTGCTTGTAGCAGGTTCTTTGAATGGCAAAGATTCCGATCACAGCCAGCATAAATAGAAAGATCCCAGGCCTCTCGGTATGACTAAGGACTCTGAGGAAGGGTCTCTGTCACCTCTTCAATAAACAGTTCTTAGGCTTTTGATGTCTCCATATCCAATTGTTTTTTTTTTTCAGCTTGAAAATTTTCTCCATTTAGCCCAGTTTCTAGGTGTGAGGCCTATAGAGGCATCGTGTATGGAGCCAGCTGTCCCTTTAAGGGCATCCTGGGTGGTTAGTAGCACTTGATCCTTCTTGGAGGACACACCACAGAAGCTGAGTGCATCCACTGTCCTCTTCACGATGATAGCCCCTGTTTGGAGTCAGGCTGGGTAGGGCCCAAGGAGCAGCATGGTGTTCCGAAACCTCAGGTGCCGCTGGTCTGCAGATCACACTAGGGACTCTAGCTTATTACCTCATTTTATCTTCTCCCTGATGTACATCACAACGTGGATGGCGTGGTAGTACAGCCAGATTTCATGTGTTCATCATGCTCTCCCCTCACCAGATCTCAACTGCCTAGCATGCCGTTAGAACACAATGCCAACACTCAGGAGGCTCTCTGCACATGCACTTCTCGTGGGCTTAGAGCTCACTGTGTGGGCTAAGGGACTGAGGGCAGAAGCCAGACAGATCACGGATATAGGACCTCTGGGCTTGGGATGTGTGTTGTGTAAGTGGAGGTCAAACTCAGGGCTTTATACCATGCTAGGCAACCCCTCTGCAGCTAAGCTACAGCCTCAGCTTGGTAATGCTTCTGACCCTGGACCTCACCAGTCAGGACTGAAGCGAAACTGTAAAGGAAAACAGCACAGGAGATGGGGGGGGGGGGTGGGGGGAGGACATGGCTCAGTGGTGGGATGCATGCCTTAGAAGGCCCTTAGTTTGACTTTGAAGTGGGTGAAGGGAGGACAGAAGAAGGAGGGAGAGAGGGAGGGTGGGAACAAGGGGGAGGGAGCGATTCCTAGCAGCCTAGCAGAGACACCCCAAGCCTCCAGGCATTAAGTGACATATGTGCATATAGATAGCATTTTTAAACTGGAAAGGCTGTCCCTACCTTGGTTTGAAGCCACCTGGGCTCTGGGCCAGCTGAGGTTACTTGGGGTCTGGCAGCCTGGGTACCACTTGATCATCTTACCCTTGGAATGCTTTCACATGATGTTCTGGCCAAGCCCTTGACCCCAGTTTCTCTGGGGCCAATTCAATTTGTACAGCTTGGGGCACTCAGGGTGAGGTTATTCCAGAAGCCATGTCAGCCTCCCTCAGTTTCTCCATGTGGCTGTAGTCGTGGAAAGACTAGAGAAAGTAAGTGTGTGTCTTTGTATTAGTGTGTGTGTGTTAGTGTGTGCATATGTGTGTATTAGTGTGTGTATGTGTGTTAGTGTATATGTGTGTTAGTGTATATGTGTGTTAGTGTATATGTTGTGTTAGTGTGTGTGTATGTGTGTTAGTGTATGTTAATGTGTGTATTTGTGTGTTTATATGTGTGTATGTGTGAGTGTGAGTATGTGTGTGTCAGTGTGTGTGTACATGCACATACGTGTATATAAGTGTGTGTGTGTTAATGTGTGTGTGTGTGTGTGTGTGACCTCATCATTGTCATGTAGTGCTCTACCTAGCTGAAGAGCTGTCTCTTCGGTCCACAACTGGGGAAATTATCTGAAGCTTGAGGACAAGGGCAGCTTCTGACACTTCCCTCCTTTCTGAGGTTTTCCTGCCAGTTGAATCAGACATAGCATCTGTAAGAGCAGAAAAGCCCTGTACCTCTGAAAAGACTGTTTCCCTTTCCTGTCTCCCTTCTTTCTCCAATCCTAGAGTTTTTCTAAATCCAAACTTAGGACTGTCTGTGCCTGTATGCATATGTGTGTGTGCATGCATGCAGGTCAAAGGTCAACCTTTCATGTCATTCCTCAGGAACAATCCCCCCCACCCTGATTGAGATAGAGTCTCTCTCTCTCTCTCTCTCTCTCTCTCTCTCTCTCTCTCTCTCTCTCTCTCTCTCTCTTTCTCCCTTCCTCCCTCCCTCCCCCTCCCCCCCTCTCTCAACTGGGGATCATTGATCCAGCTAAGCTGGCCAACCCAATAGCTCCAGGGACCCTCCTGTTTCCAGGTTCTCAGTGCTAGGATCACAAGCAGAGACTATTACACCCAGCTTTTTATGTGGGTGCTGGCAAGCAAAATCAGGTCTGCATGCAGCGTGCAGCAAGAACGTCACCAACTGAGATATCCCCCCAGCTCAATCTACTTTCTGATTTGACATATAGGGTGGTCCCTTCTATCCTGGGCTTTCTGTCTGCCAAGGAGACATGGAGGGCATCCTGGTCAGGAGTCTGCTGGCTGAGACCTGGTCATGCAGACGCCTCTTAGTCCTGCCTATGGCTCCCATGTGCTCGGCACACTGGGCAGTAGTGGCTCACCGTTAATCCCACCACTCTGGAGGCAGAGGCAAGTAGCCTTCAAGGCCAGCCTGGTCTCCAGAGCAAGTTACAGGACAGCTTGGGCTACATGGAAAAACTCTGATTCAAAACACCAAACCAAACATAAACTCAAACAACAAAAAGCCTGTAAGCCAGGAGAGCCAGGTACTTGGGGAGCCCCTGTCCTTGGATCTAAGGTGCAGAGACCTTAACAAAAAATAAGTTTTCTAACTGCAGCAGAAGAGGCCCAGGAATGACCTGGCCACTGGGTCAAAGAGGCAGCAGGCAGCTGTTGCAGAGGCTCCAGGGGCCCTTCTGGCTATTCTCCATGCCACGCTGGAGTCAGCTCTCCCAGACCTGACCGCAACAGAACACTTTGTTTGCCAGTTCTCACTTGGTGGCCCTGGGCTTGGGCACTAAGGCAGAGAGTAATGCCCTTAGGGGCCTGAGTATGGATTCAAAGGGAGTTACACAACCAGGGCTGGAAAGGACTTCCTGTGGAGATTTCCAAACCGGTCAGTTTGTGAGTGGCACCCGCGTCCTGCCTCATGGCCTCAGGCTGGATACACTGCTCAGCTTGAACACTGGAAAGATTTCGCCCCAGAAAATGAAAAAACATGATACAGGGCTAGAAGTAAATCAATATATATTTTATTAAAAGGGCACTTTTTGCTCTCACAGAGGACCTGGGCTCAGTTATCAGCACCCACATGGTGTCTTGAAACATCTGAGCCAGGGAGTGGTGGTGCACGCCTTTAATCCCAGCACTTGGGAGGCCCAGGCAGGCGGATGTCTGAGTTCGAGGCTAGCCTGGTCTACAGAGTGAGTTCCAGGACAGCCAGGACTATACAGAGAAACCCTGCCTTGAAAAACAAAAACAAAACAAAACAAACAAAAAAGAAACATCTGTAAATTCACTTTTCCCGATTTCTGCAGGCACCAGACACACAGACATACATACAGGTAAAACACTCACACATATAAAATAAAATATTTAAAAACCAACCAACCAACCGAAAACCTCATTTACTTAATTCTATGTATGTATGTATGCATGCATGTATGTATGTGTGTATGTATGATTGTGATGAGATCAAATACAGATCTCCCTGCCTGTTGTGAATCCTACCACTGAACTACATCTTCTGGCCCCTTAATTGATTTTGGTTTTAGTTTTTGTTTTCTCTGAGACAAGATTTTACTTTGTAGCCTAGGCTGCCCTGGAACTCATTTTGAAGACCAGGTTGGCCTCCAAATGGTGGTAATCCCACTGCCTCAGCCTCCTGAGTGTGTTGGCATCACAGGTGTGAGCCATCACAGCTGGAAGGGTCTTTAATTTAACATATCAGTTTTGAATAGTCAATTTTGAATGCTGTTTTCCGGTTCAACTTAGGAAACAATTTGATGCCAAGTCTTTACTGACTGTTATGGGTTATCCTGAGCTAATGTGTCCTGCCAATAGTTCTGTTTACAGACTACTTGATGGAAAAGTACTCCTGCAAAGAGGACTGTTGGGACTTGAGCATGACAATATCCATTACGACTGGACTTCTGGCCTTGGCTTCGGGGCTCTTTGTCCTGTCCAGAGCTGTTCCAGTTCAGGATACTGTTCCTCTGTTCACCTCACAGCTAGGTACCCAGATTGAGGAAATGACCTGTGTGCTTTAGGAGGGAAGCAGGCAGCAAAGAGGTAGTTTGACTTCAGGTAACCTAAAAGAACTATTGATTGCCTGCAGTCAAGTGCACTGGGTGCCAAGGGGACACAGCTTCCCTCTAACTGGCTGGGCAAGCTGCTGAAGGAAGAGTTGGCCTCCCACTGAGGCAGTCATGCAGACCTGAAATGACAAGCAGAAGCCTGGTTTGTCCCTGGGTAGATGGATCACCTGATACAGACACTGGGGACCAAACGCTGGGATTGGCTCAAAACAGGGCTGTGTTGATCCAGTGGCTGGGCTTTGGCATCCTGTCAATCTGCTGTCTGCTCAAAAGCCTAGAAATAGTGCTGGGCCAATGTGCTGGCCTCTGAGAAAGGAAGCAGCCATGCAAGTGCTAACGAAACGCTACCCCAAGAACTGCCTGCTGACTGTCATGGATCGGTACTCGGCTGTGGTGCGGAACATGGAGCAGGTGGTGATGATCCCCAGCCTTCTGAGGGATGTGCAGCTGAGTGGGCATGGGGGCTCGGTCCAGGACGGAGCCCCTGATCTCTACACCTACTTCACCATGCTGAAGAGCATCTGTGTAGAAGTGGACCACGGGCTGCTGCCAAGGGAGGAATGGCAGGCCAAGGTGGCTGGCAACGAAGCCAGCGAGGCTGAGAATGACGCTGCCGAAACAGAGGAGGCAGAAGAGGACAGGATCTCGGAGGAGCTGGACCTAGAAGCCCAGTTCCACCTGCACTTCTCCAGCCTCCATCACATCCTTACACACCTGACCCGGAAAGCACAAGAGGTGACCCGGAAGTACCAGGAAATGACGGGGCAGGTCATGTAGGTCTCCGACTGTACGGAAGGTATGGGTGGCCGCGCGAGTGGGTTATACTCCATAAAGGACGTTCCGAGGGAGGAGATGGATGGTGGTTTAGCTTGGTAGACCGAGGCCGAGTGAGCTCTCACATCACTATCACTTGGGAAGGCCCAGAACTGGGCCTGACTTCCAGCCTTCTCAGCCAGCATCGATAAGCAATGACTGTGAGCTCCTACAGGGAACAGAACTGTAGCCTCTGAGCACATCCCTTCTGAGTGTGTGTGTGTGTGTGCCCCCAAGTGTGCAAGTGTAGAGTCAGTTCTCTCTTCCCACCTTTAACTTGGGTTCCAGGGATGAAACTCAGATCACCAGGCTTGGGAAGGTGAATTCCACCTGCTGAGTCGTCTCACCATTCCAGAGTCAGTCACAACTACTCTTCCTCATCTTCCTTTTTCCATTTTTTTTGAGACAAGCTCTCTCTGTAGAGCCCTGGCTGGCCTGGAAACGTAGAGATTCTCCTGCCTCAGTTTTCAGAGTGCCAGGATTAAAGATATGCACCATCATGCTCAGCTGTAAAGTTAACTTGAAAAAAAAAATATATATATCACATTACACATACAATCTGATTATAGCTATGGACTTTCCCCAGAGTTGAAACATAATCTGTGTAGCTCCAAGTGCCCGCATGGTCCCAGTTTCTGTAAACGTTCTGTATAAACCCACAAAGATGAAGGTCTTTTTGGATTTTGATTATTTATGTTTTGGAGACAGGGTTTTACTAAATGTCTAGGTTGGTCTCAAACTTGGAAGACTCCTGCATGTCTCCCAAATTCTGGGATTGCAAATGTCACTGTGCCTGACTGGCAAAGGTGAGGTTGGTTGCTTTTGCTTTGCAAGTGAAGAACCTTACTAAGGGAGATATATTTGTGTAGATGTGCACTGTGAATTCTGTGTGTATGTGCCCATGCTGTCTCATAACGCAGGGTATGTTATCACATGTTATCACATGTTATCACATAGGGGCATGTAGGTGAGGCTCACAGTGCTCCTGAAACTGACAGGGATGCTCCACCACCCTTCCCAGGTTGCAACTGGACAAACAGCAACTATTTTGATATTTGAATTATTCCAGTCACATGAGGGTGTGGAATCGTGCCTGTTGGGAATTCCTGGTCCTATGTGCCTGTGCATAGAGGCTGCAATTGTGAAATGAGAATGAACATCAAGCAAACAGGTCATGGTATAGAGTAGCATACAGGAGAAGGGCCTGGGCCATAGGTCCCTCCTAGGCAGGGATTGGGAGAAATCAGATTATAGAACCTGCTGGTCTTGACCATGAGCCACCTGCCAGCTTCGTTTTATTATAAACTGGCATCAGTTATCGACCTCTTTGCATCGGACTGAGAGACTAGATTTGTACCTCCAGGGTGGGTGAGATGGCTCGGCTGGTAAAGGCGCCTGTCACCAAGTCTGTCAACCTGATATTGATCCCTGGGACTCACATGGGAGAGAATTGACTTCTGAAAGCTGTCCTCAGTCTTCCACATGTGCACTGTGGCCTGTGTATTGCCCTCCCACCCCCACCCCAATGTAAAAGAATTGTACCTCCATTCACTAGCAAGGAAATTAAAGTTAATTGAGTGACTCATCTGAAGTCACATAGTCACATAAAGGGACAAAAGCCATGTGAGAGAGACATGGTGTACTCCAGCACTCCCAGGCAGAGGTAGGAGGATTGGTAGTTCCAGGTCGGCCTCAAAAACCCAAACAGCAAGCAAACAAGAAGCAAGACTGGCCCCAGCTTTGAGGCCAGCCATTCACACTCATTCTTTACCATTTTGGAAAGATGGGGAGGGAATGAACACACCTCCCCCCCTCACAGAGACTAGACAGCAGTTCTGCGCCAAGTGCTTTCCTCAGTTTTCTCTTCTCCCCCTCAAACCTGAACTGTCAACCTCAACCCTGTTTCTCTCTCCCCTTGAGGGTTCCTGGGCTACCTTCCAAAGGATCTTCTTGAACTCAACCAGGCTGGGTCTCTCTTTCCACTCACGGTTCCATAGATCAAGGTCAGGCCACCCAGGGTTGTGCTTCAAGTGCTCTTAGCTGCTAAGCCATCTTGCCAGGCCACAGTTTTATTTTATTACATTTTTTTATAAAAAGAAATTGGAGACTTGCTAGGCATGGTGGTTCATGCCTGTAATTCCAGCACTTGGGAGGTAGAGGCAGGAAGATTAGAAGTTCAAGGACACCCTAGGCTACACCCTAGCATATCTGAGGTCAGTCTGTGCTATGCAAGTCCTTATCCCAAAACCCAACCCAACCAACCAAACAACCAAACAAAAACCCTGGAACACTGAGGAGAAAGATGAGCCCCCAAATTGCTTGCCCTAGCTTGAACCTCATTCATTCTTTCTATACTGGCTGGTTTCCTGCTCCTTAGAGCAACGAAGCCTGCAGCCTGTGGTGGGCATAGCAACGGGGAGAGCAGACAGGGTGGAAACCACAGTCTCTGACTAATCAGATCAGCCCCTCTTGACCACAGTGGTCTAACAACTCTGACCTTGTTTTTATTCATGGGGGGCAGTATGGCATAGCAGAAGTTCAAAAGTCTGGGCTCTTAGCTCCGCTGTTACTCTTTCTGCCATCATAGGCCTTTTGCCCTTCAGCTTCTTAGCATCTCTTAATAGGGTGCAGAGGAGAAAAGACAACTAGCCCCAGCTCTTATGGCCTTTGATGCAGTGGTTCTCAACCTGAGGGTCACAAAGACCACTACAAAACACAGATATTTACAATTCATAACAGTAGCAAAATTACAGCTATGAAATAGCAACAAAGAATTTTATGGTTGGGGGGTCACCATGGGGAGCTGTGTTAAAGGGTCGCACCACCAGGAAGGTTGAGAACCACTGTTTTTATGCCTCAGGCTTGAAGTGCTACCAGCTTTCAAACAACAATATTAGCATTTTTTTCGTTTGTCTTACTCTTTCAGAGGGCACAGGATAGCGGCTGTTTGAAATGATAGATATTTGGCTTCTAAAACATTTCTACGTTCTACAGATCACTTTACACGAGAGAGAAGATGAGGACCCAGCGGTGCGCCAGCCCCGAGACCTGGAAGGCAGGCCTGGAGCCAGGTGGACTTGAAGGCAGCTTCTGTCTCTGGGTGCTTCCCCACCTCCCTCTGAGCACATCTCAGACTTGGTTGCAGGCTCACCTTTAAGATGTTTGTTGCGATTCCCAATTTCTCTTCAGTGTCTTAGCAGTTTGAGGTTGACAAGGCAGCAAGGATCAGTAGAAAGCAAAGGTATCAGCAAGTGGTCAAAGTTCACGTCCCACCTCTGGGGTGTCATTTAGTGCCTGGTGTCACAGTTATTCTTTCATGTATAAAGCAGGGATGCTGTATCTACCTCACAAGGTTAGTAAACGTGACACGGAATCAAAAGCACCTGGCACGCGCCGACATCTGTACAGCTGGTGTTTCTCATATCTTCCTTGGAGTGCATGCTGTATGTATATGTAGCTCTTGCTTTAACCCCACCCCTAGGGAAAAAGTTGAGGTAGTGGAGTGTGTGGGATGAGCTACTCACCCTGTTGGATCTGATGAGGCTGAGCACAAGTGAACTATGTACCTAAGTATTGCAGTAGCAATTAAAAACAAAAACCATGGCATGCTGGTCTTTTTTTTTTACTTTTTATTGATTCTTCATGAATTTCACATCATGCCCCCAATCCCACTCGTCTCCCTGTCCTTCATATCTGCCCTCCACCCTTGCAACCTCTCCCACAAAAGAAAACAAAATCTCTGTAAAAGCTGTGGTGTGTCACACAGTATACCCTTTTGCACAAACTGCCGTTTTTTGCAAATGTTCATTGCAGTGAGTCACTGGTCTGGTTCTCTGGCTTCTGCTACACCATCAATACTGGATCCCCACTGGGACTCCTCTCAGATATCCTGTCGATGCCCTGTGTTGTGGAGGCCTTGGAGCTTTGGTCCTGCAGGACCAGCCCCTTCACCCACTCCAGCAGTTCATAGACGGGTAGATGTTGGGGTGGGCCAGCTCAAAGCCTGGATCTGGGCCTGGGTGGTAGCAGAGTTGGTTAGCTTGACAGCTCTCCCACGATGTCTCCATCAGGGCCGGCTCTCCTACACTTATGACACCAGGGCCAGCTCTACTGTGCTGCCCGTGCTCCCGAGTGCTCCCGAGTGCTTCACACTGCCTAGGTGAGGGGCAGGGCCAGCTCCATGTGGGACTGCGTAAGGGTATTCTGGTTCATGGCTGGGCAGGTGCCTAGAACCACGAGACTGCGTGAGAACCAGCAGGAGTTCGGCGTGCCCCCAGAATCCAGGGTCCTGAAAAGCAATCTAGCCTCCATAAATCTACTTGTTCAGTCACATAGGCCAGACTATAGGCCTCGGGGCCCTAGGGATTTACATACTAATGAAGGTCAGACAGCCCCACCCAAAGTGCATAGGTAGAGGGTGACTAGAGGCCTCAGGGCCTAGGGATTTACATACTAATGAAGGCCAGAGGGCAGAACAAATTAAGCATGCCTCCCCAGATCCTCCCCCTTTCTCCCTCCCTATATAACTCGGGACTGCCCTGAGTTTTACAAGGGCGTACTTCCAGATCCATCTACCATCTGACATGACAAACACACACAAACACACACCACACGGACTAAAGGTGTATACTACCATATCTGGCTAAAATGATTGTTTTTGTAGTGAATCGGGTTTTTGTTTTTAAATAATTCAAAGGGGGGGGGGAGGAATTGTGGGAGCCAGAGGGGTCAAGGACACTGGGAGAATATGGCCGACAGAACAACTAAGCAGGGCTCGTAGGGGCTCACAGAGACTGAATGTATGGGTCTGTGCTAGGTCCTCTGCTTGTATACTGTGGTCGCTGCTTATGGTTTTTGGGTGACTCCTAGTGGTAGGAGTGAGGGTGTCTCTGACTCTTTTTTTTGCCTGCTTTTCAGATTCTTTTCCTCCTCCTGGGTTGCCTTGTTCAGCCTTGATGCAAGGGTTTGTGCCTGGTCTATTGTATCTTCTTTTTTTTGTTTTTGTTTTTTTTTTTTCGAGACAGGGTTTCTCTGTGTAGCCCTGGCTGTCCTGGAACTCACTCTGTAGACCAGGCTAGCCTCGAACTCTCGAACTCAGAAATCCACCTGCCTCTGCCTCCCAAGTGCTGGGATTAAAGGCGAGCACCACCACCGCCCGGCTAAATTTTTTTTTTTTTTTTAAAGGAGCCTTGTTGGAGAGATGGCTCAGTGGTTAAGAGCACTTGCTGCTCTTCCAGAGGACCTCAGTTCAATTTCCAGCAACCACATGGGCTCACAATCATCTATAATGTGATCTGATGTCCTCTTTTGAAATCAGGTATACATGAAGACAGAACATAAAATAAATTTTAAAAAGAGTGTTTACTGTGGGTCTGAGTTTCAGTCTCCCTGCTGGGCTGTTGGAATGCTGCCTATACACTGATCAGGGAGGCGAATCACAGGGGCACTAGGCTTCGTTTCTTCCTCACTGCTGGGATGCTGGTCACTAACACACTGCTCAAGGGAGGTGACATGCAGTCTAAGAGAGGGGTCTCAGCCCATGTTTCTCCTGGTGAGAAATGGCAGGGGCTGGGGTGGAGGTTGTGATTCTCGAACTCCTGTGTGCCCAGATGCTGTTGGGGATCTTGAGGAGTTGGGAACAGTAAAGGGAACCCTGCCACCCACCAACCCCATCAGTCCTTGACAGTCCTTGCTTGTCCAGACTGTTTTACTCATAGCCGATGAGGATGCATATAACTTATTCAGGGTGGACTAGAGATTAAATACCTTTTGCAGGAAGGGATGCCCAGGAAGAGAAGCTCGTTGGCTAAACACTCGAGGCCTCTCTAGATACCTCATTAGCATGGAGAACTCTATACTCTATGCTGCATTACCAGTTGTCATGGTCCTCTTAGCAGGGTGTCGTGGTCACATGCTCCACGACAGGGACCTGGTTGAGAGCTAGTCTGAACTCCTGCTATTCTCATTTATGAGTATTACCAGGGTCCTAAACTTGCTTCAGCCTTACAAGTTCTTCTGTCTGGTGGCAAGGTCCACTGCCTCACAAGGACAGAAATTCAGTTCCAAGCACACACACTGGACAGCTCACACCCACCAATAAACTCCATTTCCAAGGCATCTGATACTCTTTTCTGGCCTCCTTGGATACTCTAGTATACAAATCTGCACACACCTGTATACATGCACACACCTGTGTATACACACACAGTTAAAATAAACAGAAACAGGAAAGGAACAGAGAGCTCATAATAACTATTTTAATTACAGTGTTAACATATTAACCTAAACTTCATTGTCACAGAAAGATATCCCATAAAATTCAGAAAATATTCAGGTTGTGGTGAGGAGGAAGGAGCCTTTTGAAGACTTCAACGCACTGGATGGAATGGCTCAAGAATTTCAGCATAAGTTTTCCTCTCTGTGAAAGAATCATAAAATATTTATTTTAAAGTTATACTCTATAAGTTCTATTTCTTGGGCTAGGGATATGGCTCAGGAGCAGAATATCTGCTGAGTGTCTGAGGCCCTGGGCTTACTCCTCAGCATTCAAAAAATAAACAAATAAAGGTTAGGGTCAGGAGTAGGAGCACAGGCTGCTCTTCCAGTTCCACTTCCAGAGTGTCTGTGGTTGCTCACAACTGTCGGTGACTCCAGTTCCAGGGGATACAACGTTCTCTTCTGGCCTTCTGAAGCATATATGTCATACACAGACACACGTGTAGGCAAACATCCACACACATAATAACCGTGATGATGATGATAACTTAAGTAAGTAAGGCTATATTGAGAAAAAAAGAGCAACACGACTCATCTTACTGACAGAAGCCTGCTGAATGTTTGTCTCCCATAATCTATGCTGGGACTCAGTCCCCAATGCTATGGTATTAAGAGGTGGGGCCTTGGAATGTGACTAGGTGGTGAGGATGGGGCGTCTAGTCTACAGAAGATGTTCGAATCCATACAACCAGCCAGTACCTGAGCCATGGGCACAGACAACATTAACCAGGGAGAATGAGACATTTTCAATTAACATGAGATACCTTTTTCAGGAAAATCTTCTGGATGTAATTTTATATACCCAAACATATCACGGTCCTTCACAGCATACAAATAGTTCTGACGTTTTAAATAAAAATATCCAGCAAAGAAAAAGGAAGTAACATACAGAAGCTGGCGATGCAAACCTGTAATTACAAAACCCAAAGCGAAATAATCAGTCAAAGTGCACAGAGAATTGCATTTTTATGTTACATCTCAGACACATTCTTATGGTGTTCTTGCCAATGTTCTTTACAAAAAAAAAAGAACCCCCTTCCCCAACCAGGGTCCCCCTCCCCCAACCAGGGCCTCACAGAGCCTAGGCTGAGCTTGCACTTCAGGTTTCTTCTGCACACCTTTCTCCATTTCAGAGAACAGCAGTGCTGTTCGTTCACACAGTTGAGTATGCTTTCATTTTACAGCCTTTCCCACCCACAGACCCTGTGTCCCAGAGTCCTCTCCCCTACAGTGAGCTTACCCCTTCCAGGGCACAGCTGCCTGTTCCGATCCAGCTTTCATCTGCTAACTCATTAGCCCTCACCCTAACTTTCTCTGTCAAATACGATGTACTATGGTGAGAATTGAGATTTCTTAAAAACCTGAATGATGGTTTTGTTTTAATCCCAGGTGTGGTATGGGGCTTCAGATTGTGCACAGCCATTAACTACGGTTACCTCATGCTCGGGGTAGGGGGGGAAGGGGGCATGATTTTTGACAGCTGCATATAGTTTCAATTCTGGGGACTCTGGAGAGGGTATAATGCAGGAACCTCAAGAGGGCCTGTGGCAGCTGCTGCTCCCTCCTGCTGCTGCTGCATTTGCTACTGATGGATTGCTGGTTTGCTGGACTGCTGGAAATCCTGACAATGAAAACTGGACGTGCCACAAGGAACCGGATAATCAGCAGGAAGTAGCCTATAGAAATCTACACCCTCTTTCTCTTCTAACTTTTGTTTTCTCTCCTACATAGTGTTGGGGGTTGGAAGAAGGTAGACACATAAAAACCCAATGGTTATTGCACTGCCTGGCAACTGCACCATCATGCTATAGCTTCTGATATCAATGCCTCTACAATGGTTTTCTATTCCTTTATAAATTGTACCATAATTTGTTCCTGTCTCTAACATCAGGGTAAGCAATATCTAATTCATCTGGCTATACCAATCAGCATATAATACCTAATGTATATTTATTAAATTAATGAATGCCTTTGGGCAGGTAAACTTACTATCTCTAAAAAGAGAAAATACTTGATGGGTAGTGGTGGCGTACGTCAGAACTTGGGAGTCAAAGGCAGGTGGGTCTCTGTGAGTTCAAGGCCAGCCTTGTCTACAGAGCAAGTTCTAGGACAGTCAAAGCTACACAGAGAAGCCCTGTCTCAAAAACAACAAACAAACAACAACATACCTACTCTATTTTTCTCATTCTAGTAATATACAACCTAAGAAAAAATGTATATAAAGGTGGTTTGGAAAACGTGAAAAGCAGTAAAACTAAGATATTCTTTTCAAAATATTTATTTAGGTTTTTCAAGACAGGGTTTCTCTGTGTAGCCCTGGCTGTCATGGA